GGTCTTAGACTGAAAGTAAGTCCGATAACTCAAGGCCCCTCCCATACAAATTGGAATTTTCATATTACATACATATCTCTGGAAGTATTTGTGGGAGAGAACTGAAACTTGGTATAGTGATATGTATGTGAAATCAATGTTGGCATTAATCGATTGATGTTTTAATTAGTTAGTTAATACGATTAAATTCAATCTGATTACAGTTAATCATGATTAATTTTAATCCAGCTAAACAGTTAATCGTAACCGCGATTAAAAAATTAATTTTTAATCATTAACTCTTAATTTGATCAAGTAGGTTTGGTAATTAATTAAGTTATGCTGGAATCTCCCTGTGCACACAAAGCAAGTTAATGCGGTATGGCTAAGTCGGGTTTCCTCATCAATCTAAGCAATTTGGTGTGCATTTTCATTAAGATATATACCAACAAACGTTTTACAAACTAGGTTTGTAAAAGTTCCCAGTTTATGTATTACTAATAACAATAATTATTATTTTTTTATATTACGTGCTTTTTATAAGCGTAAAACACAAAATAATTACTACAACTGGTGTTTGGTTTCAAACTCGGACAAACTAGACAAATTAATTAGATTTTAATTTTAATTGGATTAACGATTAATGTTTTAAATTAATTAAACGTAATCGCAGCCAGCGATTAACGATTAAAAAAATGTTATCTTTAATCGTACAGTTGATTACGACTAATTAATTTTAATCGTCAAACGCGATTAACATTTTAATCGTTAATTTTTAATCGTTAATCAGATTAACAGTTTGCCAACACTGTGTGAAATCATGTTCATATTCACGGAGAAAAATGGACGTTTTTGGAAAAGAGGCGTAGCACCTCCCATACTGACTGAAAGTTTCATATTGCATATCTCTTCAAATGTTTGGGGTAAAGCACTCAAGCTTGGTATGGAAGTACATATGTATGCATGTATGTAAGTGAAACTAATACCATACTCATGGAGAAAAATGAGAGTTATTGGAGAAGGTGGTGTGGCAACTCCCATGCAAATTGATTTTTCTATGCTGCATATCTCTGGAGGTGTTTATTGCAGAGGACTGGAACTTGGCACCGGGATGTGTATACAAAATTAATTCCATACTCATAGAGAAGACTTTGCATTATTCGAAAAGGGGACATGGTTCCTGCCGTACAAATTTACTGTTTTATACTGCTTATCTCTAGAGGTGTTCATCGTAGAGTACTGGGACTTGGTACTGGGGTATGTAAAATCAATTCTAAATTCATGGAAGTAGATTAGGGTTATAAGAAAAAGGGGCGTGGCACTTCCAGTACAAATTTACTTTTTCTTGCCACATATCCCTGGAAGTGTTTGTGGAAGACAGAATAAATTTCATTAAATGGAAAAGGGAGAGCCGGGTTCGGCCTTATAATTTAAAGCTCTCTTGAGGCATTTGCTACAGTAATGAGAAGTGGTATTTTATCAAGGCCAGGCTACTAAATTTGATTTGGAAATATTAGAACTCGCCGTGGCACCTCCAAGAAGGTTACACGTTCACGCGTCGTGTACCTGGAAACATTTTAAGGTAAACTTAGAGGGATTGATATATTTCGAATGCCTAGCGCGCAGACGAGATTTTATAATTTCATAGTTTTAAACGGCCTAAATACCTGAACTCGCTTAAAAAATAACGAGCTATAACGAAATGGGCACAGAAATAAAATCTAACATCATTAAATTATTTTTCCTATTTGTATAAAAGCGCGGGGTGAAACCCGCGGGTATAAGCTAGTATGTACATAGTATAGTGTATATAGTATATATAGTATAGTGTATATAGTATAGTGTAGTATGTATATAAATGATACAAGCAAGTACTAAAAGTTTCGCCTTTGAAACAAAACTTCCAAAAAAGGAGGAGGTTATCAGTTCGTCGGAATATATTAATTTTTTTTTTGTTTTATTATTATTTTTTTTTATGTATGTTACCGCACAACTTTAGACCACGTCAACCGATTTCGATGATTCTTTTTGCATCGGAAAGGTAGTGTCTCAAAGGTGGTCTTGTTAAGATCCGATCAGTGGATCATGAGATATATATATATATATAAATATATTTTTTTTATATGAGAGTTGAAGTCGGTTTTTTTTTTGCTAAAAATTACTTGTGATAATATACGTATGTACGTATTAGTTATGCCGTATGTAGGGTATAAAAAAACAGTAATTGAGAAAACAACGAACGTGGACAATATCAATATTACTTTCTTGTTCTTGAATAACACTATAACGTCCAAGGTATATGTAAATGATTACACTTTTGCTTGATCGCACCTACTTCTCAACTATATGTCTGCGCATATAGCCAAAAACCTCTTATTTTTACGCTTACTATAAAAAATAAAATAAAATACTTAGAACCATAGTAAAAGAAAACTGAAATCACCTTGTATTGCCTAAAAAACCTGAACACGAAGGTTCCATTGCCGTTTCTGATATATCTTTAAAGAAAACTCAGATATAGCTTGGAAATTTGAAATATTAAATTAAGTTTTACACTTTGCGCACACTCAAAGGAAAGAGTGACCACTTTAAAGGTACGACCGCACTAGGCGACGCGACACGACACTACACAGCGCAGTAAAATATTCTTTGCATATATTCTTATGGAGCATACCGCACTACGCTGCAGCGGAGCTACGCTACGCGGCGCGACGCTACGCGGCAAAGTTGGCAAAAATGTCGCGCCGCGTGGTGTCGCGCAGTTCCGGTGCCGAATAGTGCGGTATACCTAGCGGAACGACATAACATTTCGTACTATATTTTTAACTTGAAGTAATTGGATTTCCAATTGTGAGTGAATATTCACATGCATTTCATTCAAGAAGAAAATTGTATGTAAAGAAACATAATATTTAAGAAGAATTCGCCAAGGAAAATAAAAATGAAAGGCATTAACATTACATCAGCGTCACTGGCATCCGTCTTGTTTGAAGGTTTTGACACAAATAAATTAAAAAATTTGCAGCGAAGTGTCGCGCCGCTGCAGTTTCAGTGCGATATATCAAAAAGTGTCGCGCCGTGTCGCGTAGTGCCGCTGCAGTGTCGCGTCGCTTAGTGCGGTCTTACCTTAAGAGTATATTGCAAGAAAAAGTTAAGGTTTGGGTAAATATTTGATAACATAGTGATATCGAATTTTATCTACTTTCATTTGGTACCAAACCCGTCTTTGTATTTTGAAATTCATTTTGTGAATTAACACGAAATATCGACATCAGAAGAAGTGAAAAACGGTTTTACTTTGAAGGCATTGCTTTCAGAGGCGGTACTTTCTCTAGCTGTTATTTTACAAATCTCTCTTTATAACGATTTTACGATTTTTATGCATAAATCTCGATGCCTGGAGTTCAGGGCTACCAAATCTCATTTTTCCCACAACGGCGATTTAGGCCGATGATCGATGATATACTGTATACATCAGAATGTCCAGATTGTTAAAAAAAGCGCAATTTCTGAAGAAAAAATCGCCAATTTTTTTTAAATAAAATTCATGAAATCGATTTAACAAATCTTTTATTTTAAAAATCAGATCTTGTTATAATATAGTTTTTAAAACCAAAAACGAATATAATACCTTTAACCCTTAATTATGCGAATGGGGTCAAGGTCATTTCAAGTTGAAAAAAAAATGTCTTGGAGTGCTTGGAGCGTGCCCGCGCTCTGCCTAGCTTCCTAACTTCCCGCGGGCTACATAAATAAGTCACGGTCAGAACATCGGCGTGTAAACATTTGTCGCTACTCTTTTAAGCCCTGACCCCATGCGACCACTTATGTAACATTTTTTAGTTTTTATTTTTGTATCTAAGTTTGATGTCAAAGTTATGTTTTTCTTTCTTAAAGTTAACTGTAAAAAAAAGCTTTAATATTTATGACAAAATACATTTCGTTTTATTTATTTAGTTACGGTTAGAACATTGTCGTGTACACATGTGTCGCTACTCGCTTGAGTGCTGACCCCATGCGCCTACTAACGTAACATTTTTTTGCGGAAGTAAGTTTTAATTTTTTTTTAAGTTTGAAGTCGAAATTATGTTTTTCTTTTTTAAGTTAACGATAATAGAGTACTTTAATGTTTTTGTAAATACACATTTCCTTTTTTTATTTTGAAAACTCTTTTTTCAACACTTTTATTGGGGCCACTGGGGACCCCATACCTCTAATTGTGTGGTTTTCTTTATGCGCCTAATTAAGGGTTAATAATAAATAACACAAATCACTTATATAATAGTGATGTACAAAAAATGATGTTGTAAAAATACGCATACTTTTTAAAAATATTTGTTTCAACACATTTTGCAATAGGACTGCGCAATTATTAAATTTATTATAACTCATATTAATTGATTAATCGCACAATCCCCTTTTAAGAGCTCGGCGCTAAAAATTAAATAACAACCTATAATAAGACGAGACCAGCTATTTCCACAGTTTCTTTAAAATCACCTATAGTGTCTGAATGATTTACATTTCTGTTGTTGTCATATATTGAGCTACTCAACCTTGATAACATACTGCTTGATATTGGAAACGTTTTGAAACTTGCCATCTTGTGAGTCACACACTCTTCTGGTGAAAAAATCAAAGCTTTTTTGAAAGTATTTAATTGACTAGGTAATCGATTCAAAAGTTCTTCGATTAGGGTGATCAACAATTTTTGACAGTCTTTTAATATGATTGTTAAGTCAAGTTTATCACGCAGTTTATTAGCCTCTTCTGTAAAATTATCGTGGAAAACTAAGTTTTGTATATTTTCATAATTCGGAGAAATTTATTTGAAGGGGAAAAAATCGCTAAAAATCGCCAATGGCGATTTCCTAAATTTTTACGCGCAAATATCCAAAAAAAAATCGCCAAATTGGCTCGAAATCGACAAATCTGGACACTCTGGTATACATGCATACGTTAATACTAGAATGGTGCATATTCCCATAATAATTTTTTTATTTATATACTTTTACTTACAGAGAAAGGGAAAATGCCCGCAATCGGCGTGCAGCCAGTTGTAGAGGTGCAGGCACTAATATTACCTCGTTTCCACGTGCTGCCCCCCCGTCGTATCTCTTTGATGAGAGAACCTCCCCCACCACCGCCCCCAAAGCCTAAGCAACAAACTGTACTTAAAAACATTGCTTCCGATTCACCAATACCGAGCAAATATCCACAGTCGGACTGTAATTTAATTAAAAAAATCGACTCAAGCAGCACAATAACCGCATCCGGCCAATATCAGTTGCCGAACTTTTATGTAAATGCTAGATATAGTTCAGTAAATAATTCTATGACCGGTAACAACAATTACTCGTCGCTACTTTGTCATGCCAACTCTAATTCAAGTCCAACGGCTGTGCGTAAGCGTGAGAAACTACTTCATCGTTTTAGTGATGCTGCCACACTAGGCCGGAAGCTGAAGAAGAAAAAGAATACGAATAGAACGTGTCGTTCTATGACCGAAGCCATTGAGATGCTCGCCGACCCTGTCACTGAAGATGAATTCTTTGTAAGTATTACACACAATACAATTAAATAGTTAAACATACTCGCATACTCCTAGAAATTTTTCAAAGTCCTTTAAAAAAAACCAGACGTCAGAGAGAAAAATTAAAAGCGCAGTTATACTATATTTGGCTCCTAGTATTGTTAATACATATATAGATTTTTTCGTGCGTTTTAAAAATTTTTGGTTTTTGTCGCACGGTGTTATATGAGGCATTTCATGTCACCGCGGCCACCTCTGTGCGCGACCTCTAAAGATTGCATTGAGTGTTGTTCATGTTGATGTTGTTGATGTTTCGGTTTCATTGCAAAAGAATATTAGACCTTCAATGATAGCTTCAAGGTTAGTCCTTTTATTAAAACAAGGAAAGGAGAGGTGTTTAAAGTAAAGAAACCTAATGAGTAATAAAATTATAGTTAAAAAACCAACAACACGCTTTTATTTATTACAAGAAGAACTAAAACGAAAAAAATTATTTATTGATTTAAAGATTCGTTAAATAAGGATATGAAGTTCCCTAACATGATATTATTTAACCTTTTAAACTAGTTTAAAATAGAATTAATAGTCATAGTCGAAATAAAGTCCACTGAAAAGTAAGTTGCAGTTATTTTTTACAGGCATCCCATTGGTAGAGGGCTTCGGGTGTATGAATCTGTTGTAACATCAGGAGTTGAAGACTTTCTCTAGCTGCTAGTCTCCTAAAATTTCCTCCAATCACGTCGTAAGCAGATTTCCCATGTGAACTTGCAACAAAGTTCAGTTCTGCCATTTCCTTGAAGTGATTTTCATGATTTCAAACCTTTAATAAAGTTAGTATGATTTATTCATATTGTTTTTTTTTACACACCTTTCCTCTTTCAAAAATATACAATTTCATAAAATTTCAATGTGTATTTATCATATTGCTCTAGCGTTAGACGATCTAGAGTCCAAATGCATATGTACACTGAGAAAAAGGATTAGTTTCGACAACTAAAGACATTTAGTTCCCGAATTTTGACAATATTTGGGAACTGTGACCAAGGATGGGGAACTATTACCATGGGTTGGTAATTATAACTAAATATATTAAAGCTTCTAATATTCATCTAGGTTGTACCAAATCGTTAATTTAGTTGAAGGGTTTGGTAAATGCTAATAAATATTTTTTGAAGCATATTTCTACAAATTCCATTCAACTTAACGTATGGTTCATAAAAGGATGTCATTAAGCTCTGCTAATACATATAAACTTTCTTTCAACACATGGTTTAATCATAGTTACCAAATCTTAGTTGAGGCAACCACGATTTGGTTTGAGAGCGGAACATATTCATGCTTGTGAGCAGTGTTGCCAGAATTTTTGTATAGCGCATCCCCATATCGAGCCGCAGTTATCCCCAAAAAATCCCCATTTTTCTTCTAAATCCCCATTTAAATCCCCTTAAGTAAGAAATAAAAAAATATGTATTCTGATTTCTGTTACTTCGTTTTAATTACAGTTTTGAAAACTTTTATATTACAAATTTTCACAGTTGTATATGTGTACACATATATATGAGATCATTTGGTTATTTACGTATAGCGGTTTTTTTATTTTTTATGGTTTTTGGAGACATTTAACAACATACCTTCGGCCCAAGGTTCCTATTCCCATTGCTGTCTGTAAGTTCGTAAATTTTTTTTGTGCGCTTGCCACTTTGTAAAATTCTTTTTACACTAAGGAAATCAGAAATAGATGCAGTCCATTCGGTAAATGCCAATCACAGCGATCCTTTTACAATTTGGTGTAAAGAAGTGAGAGAAAATTGTGTGTTCAGCCAAAGCCATTAAAACAGGCATTTTCCACGAATAATACTTGACAAAGAAAACCTTAGTTTGAGAAATTTTTAAGGGCAGGCAGTAAAATATATGTATTTTAATTTCAATATGAATATTTTAAACCAAACAAAAATCCCATCAAATCCCCACATCCACAAACGAAAAAATCTATCCCCAAACGGTTTCAGAAATCCCCAAAATGGGGCGAAATTCGCACATCTGGCAACTCTGCTTGTGAGCCACCCCTAAAGAATGCTGAGCGCTCTCTGAGCACATGTGTGTTTCACATAAAAAGAGCGCCAGCTAAGCAATGCACACAGTCCCACTTATTGAATCGTTTGAATGCGTTAGTATGCCGACCATTGCATAAAAACGACGTTGCAAAAAATGGGACTAATCCGGGATGACTCCGGGAGCAATCGCAAAGCAGCATGCGACTAATACCACTTTTGATCCCTTTATATGGAATGAACTGATCGCTTTTGTTCGAGCATGTCCTATGAAGAGACTAATTGTACACCTTTATACCCAAACGGGTATTAAAAACGACTAGTCACTTTTAAAAAATAAAAATTAAAATTTGCGCCAGCTGAGATTCGAACCGGGGTGCTCTGTTTTGTTAGGCGAATACTCTCTCTGAGTGCCAACGCCGCACATGAAATTTCATTGACTAAGTGCGTACATATCATTGGGGACTAATTGATCTCCAATTATACCCATAAGGGATGAGTCGAGACTAATTGACCTCCATTAGTACCCCTATGAGACTAGTTGGGACTAATTAATGGCCAATTGTACCCGATTGAGAGTAATCTCGGAATACTCTCTTTAGAGATTAGTCGCACAATTTTTTGCAGGGGATTCAATGAATGCCACTGTGTGCGTGGAAATCATTGCTCCGCTACCGCTGTTCGTATATGGGTGAAACACATGAACGAAAGACACAAGATCACGTCTTCCCTGTAAAAATCGTTGGACCATGTAGTCTATTTGTGGTAAATTGGAGTACTTACAAAAGTGTTCCTCTGTCATGCTGTAGCGGACCAACTCGTGTCTCTGCGCCAGCTTATTGTTTGTTATCCGATCACTACTCGTGTTTTAACGAAATGTGATTGAAGTTGAGCATTTGAAAGCACATTTGCATGTCTGGCTATAGCTGAACATGTAGAGATGCTCGCTTTTAGTTCTTAGCTCCCAGCATGTTCAGGCTCGAATGCCGTCAGAGGCAACATGTAATTTTTAATTTTTGTCTTGGTTTTTATTAATTTCGAAAAAGCGTTTGAGAAGTGAAGAACAAAAGCGTGTACAAACGAAAAAATATAACAACAATGCCATTGTTAATATGTTGGAGTAGTTTTGTGCTACTCTGATGTAATGCAGGGATGGAGTATATGGTCCTGCCCTAGGACATCGCAATGTTAATTGGACCATATTTTTTATATGAATTGTGGTTAATTTTGGAGTACTCATTGGCCCTCTTTACACGCATGCATGGAGTAGTCGCGATTTTTGCAGGGTTCCCGAAAGAAAGAAAAAAGTTATTTTCTAGCTGTTGAAATTTCGACGCCATCTTTGTTGTAAGAAGTAAACAACGAAGAGAACAAAAGAAACGCGTAATTGTTGAATACTCTTTACACGCATGCATGGAGTAGTCGCGATTTTTGCAGGGTTCCCGAAAGAAAGAAAAAAGTTATTTTCTAGCTGTTGAAATCTCGACGCCATCTTTGTTGTAAGAAGTAAACAACGAAGAGAACAAAAAAACCGCGTAATTGTTGAACACATGAATAGTCATTTTTATTATGCAAATTCTTCTACAAATCATGTCGTTGTGTTAAATTACTCTTTACCTTATGTGTGCACACGTTGTCACAAGCGAAAATTAAGAAAATTGCAGTAAAAAGCCACCACCAAATTGTAAACAACGAACAAATGTAAACAAACGGGTAATGTCAAAGTCGCCCAACTTTTTTCCTAAATGCGATTATAACGGGCTACTAAGAAGAAGGCGTGATCTTGTATTTTTGGTTCATGGGTGAAACACGCATGCGCTCAGTAAGCTATGGCATGTCGATCACTGCGCTAGGTAGAGAAAAAAAAGTGTGTGCTATGACCACTGTTGCCAACTTAGTGCTTTTCGCACTAAATTTAGTGCTTTTCTTAATTCAAAACGCGAAAACTTTTGAGTTTGGTGCTTGGTGCGTTTTTTAGTACTTTTTTATTTAGTTTGAAGACACCAAAACTGTAAATCTTAAACAAAAATGGAAGTTAAATTTATAGCAATTGGAAGTTTCGTAAAGAACTTTACAAAAATGGAAATGGCACAATGACAATCATAAGCGAAAGAGCATATGTTTGTCAAAAAAATATGTGGCAGCACTTTCATTCATGCCAGAATATTTAAACAGCGTAAATCTAAGCGAAACGACAAAGCTGGACATAGCCGAAAATTAGAAAATAAGAATAAGTTTAATAAAAATATTAGAAAATATTAAAAATGTTTACGTCGCGCCGCACAGTGTTTCGACTATATGGACGCAGGTAGAAAAAAGGCATGGTGACAGTTGGTAAAAAAAACCGGTTCTTCACGAACGATACATTTCCAAAAAAAATACGGGAATGGGCGCGATACCGACTAATCAGTTTAGTTGCATTTGGCGCTGAACCCATTACGGAAAGTGTTTCTTTTTCAATTGTAATTAATCTTATTAATTATCTAAATGTCGTGGAATATTCAGGTGAAGGTATTTATCATTTATTTGGTATTTTCGTATTTTCTTACCAAAAAATTTACTTTTAAATGTAGATGCTAAAGATTATTAGTAAAAAAAGTGTGAGTACCGGTCCGTCAGGTCTTGATATTAGACTAATATTTTAGAGAATTTTATGTAGTTCGAATATATAATTTGAT